GGGGATGGAGGGTGATTCTCTCTGGGGTTCTTTTCCATAATTTTCGGTCCAAGAATGCCATATTCGCTACCCTCGTTTTTGGGAAGGGCTGCCACCGAGATTTCTAACAGATCGTACTTTTACTTGTTAATCATGAATGTACTGCGAGCAATCAGTGCAGAATGTGCAAGGAATAGTTAATCTTTTCATCTCGGATGTTGACACAGTCACTTGTTGGCTGTCACCATTCGAAGCGCCCTGGCCTTCAAACTGAACCAAACGAGTTCTCTTTTATTTTTTGAAGTCGAAGTGCTTACCTCTACAAACCTGTCACCGGTGCAGCACTTGCAGAACGGTCACCAACATTTTGTGAGATCTTTGAAATCGCATTTCTCAAATTCGGATAGACAGAGACATTCATTTGATTATGAAACATCTTTTCTTTCCGCTGGGGGCCTATTACCCATGAGAGTTTTTTTAGACGTCTCTTTTTTTCAAGGGAAATATATTACATGTAAGAACTTATTTTCGACTCTGAGTTTCGGTAGAAATCGCAGCGCATCCCAAAAAACAACGTTTCACTTCATCTCTTATGGAATGATGAAGCTAATTCCTGGACGCAGCTCCTCTCATTCCCGTATATTCTTTTGACACTTTCTGTCCTTCTAGATGAGCGCCACAAGATACTGCAGTAAATTAAATTTACCATTGGATCAGAATAAGTGCAATATTGGTCCAAGCGGTTCGTCGTACTGTAGCACAAACGTCGTCATTCTGTGAAAGGCTCGATGAAAAAAATGTGTTGTAGATGGCCATTGCGATGCAAATCAGTGGAAATAGGCAATAGAGGGCGAAAACTCTGAAAGAGGATATGCATTGAGTCTCATAAGCCCTTCGGTATCTTCGGGAAAATTTCTATCGTGAAAGATACAGGGAATTGAACACTTACTCGGCTAGAGGGATGTCGTAATCGAAGAACGCCTTCAGGAATCGTTCAAGGGCATCAACAAAAGCCTGTGTGGCAATGGGATTGTAGACGAAGTTTCGGATAGCAGAACACTCCTGTACGCTGATCTGTGACAAGAAATGGTTGAAAGTTGAAGAGATTGTGCAAAGTGATCATTGGCCAAATTGGAACCATTACCTGGTCTCTGTTGACGATACTCAAGTAGCTGATATCGAAAGCAAGGTCATAGAATGAAGCGATCACGAAGAATCCACAATTTATTGCAAGAAGACGTCGAGGTCGCGTTTCAAGGTGCTTTGTCAGTAAAATACTGATCATCACGATAGTAATGAATACGGCGGTAAATATGTGAATAGGTAAAGTAGCCAATATGGTCGGCAGATGGAATGTTTCGACCGATTCTGGTATGTTTGTTGTCGTAAGCGTTTGAACCATAGCTCCCAGCTGCTCTGAAACAATAGAAAATATGGATACTTGCCTCGAGACCTAAGTGTGGAGGTGGAGTTTTGAGAATTCCCATTAGTAGGTCACACCCCTTCAGCAGAAAAACTGGCGTAGAGCGCATTTAGAAACTGGGAAGCGTTCTAAAAGATTAGATTAAGGTCTCGTCATGAGATAAATGTCATTGAAAACTTGCTGAACTCAAATTCACTGTGAGTCAGCCAGCTGTGGAAGCCACAGCTTACGAGACCTTTCTAGCTTGAAAAGCGGAAATGTCAGTGGAGAAGTGTGCATAGGTGGCAAAGAAAGCGGGAAAATCTGCCATTTTCGCGGGAATAAGGCTTTCCAAATTGAGTGAGAACAGAGCTTGTACGAGGTTACCATGAAGAGAACAACTGAAAGCGGTTTTTCGGACGTGATTCCAGTTGCTGTGATTGCGTAAAGGGATGATTACGTTAAGCCATAAAGGTCCACAACTGTCCTTCATTGTCGCTGTGGGTCACGGCTATTTGTTTGAATTTCCAACAGGGCGTCCCTTGCGAATGATGCAATCTCCGCAACGCTGTTGAAACTCGTCCGCTTTTGGGTGTGGCGTACAGCTGATACAATCCTTGAGCCCTTATAGTGCTTTTTCAAATCTGACAGCGCCTTGGATGGTATACTGGCGGGCCACAGATCATCTTACAATTAGAAAGATGTCTCAGAAAACCTTTTCATCGTGGATAGGACCGTCAAATCTACGTCGCTGAATAATTATTTAACGTTTTATTTGGACAGGCGTTGTAAAATTGAGATGTCTACTCTAATTGGTTTCTATGCTCAAAGAACAACATTGCATGAAAGGAAAGGGATGATCTGGATGGAGGGAACCTGAAAGCAGTCGAGAATCGTACAGCGAATTCGAAGGTTGGGTCTTTGTAGGACTTGGCAGTGAGACTGGCATGTTTCGTCGACTGTTTGATCAGTTGAAAACCCGGCTTTGTTAGGAGCGCTACGGAGACTTTTTTCTCGCCGAAACGGATATCTACAAAATTTCATCTGAACATGTGGAAGAATAGAACTATTTGGTATTCCAAGGGCGCTGTAAATCTATGGATCCTACCAATGGCTGAGTAGATTTTGCTCCTCATTTGAGAATAACCTATTTAAAATGGGTCTTGGGAATTCTGGAATCCTATGCTTCGTGAGTTATACTACACCTGTCCTCTGAGATAGCATTTTCTATGTGGCAATGCAAAATACCCATTATCCCTGAACCTTTGGACCGAAACGGAAGCGTGCTCTCGACGCTAAAACGGACGCATAACGTTCGAGTGCCTCCTAGTCGTAATACACTTCCCTTTCCCTGGTTATTGTTAAAACACCAAGTTTTTACAAATATTCTGGCATTTTAACTGTGATAATGAAGGTGGAGGGACGTCTCAACTGTGAGTTGAAGGTGGTGGGTATAGTTGAAGATAATAATAGTAGAAAATAATATGTATAAAAAGTAGTTGAAAATGAAAGTAGTGGCAAGGAACCTTCCATTGTCATTCATGCCAAATAGAGTAAAGGATGAAGACTTGGGGCGTTAGTTAATCCCATCTGAGGGACGCGCCAATGCATTCGACTTCCAGTCAGGATCGTAGTGGCTTATTGAATGTATTTGTGGTCCATACAATGACTTGCAGTGCCTTGTACAACGACTGACTTGTGGCCAGTCGTTGTACAAGCCAGTGCTTTTTATCCCCTCAGGCGAGTCTGGTATCACCGACCCCGGTAGGATGGAAGGATCCGTTGGCTTGGGCAAGGTATCGGTCGTCGGGGTCCATGCGTCTGTGATACTGCGCCACTTTCCACTACACCAGCTCCGCCCTTCTCACGCCATACAATTGCAAGAATTCTGTTGTAGGTCGCATGAAGTAAGTAGTGGAAGTAGATACAGGAACTATGATAAGAGAGAGCTGAACCGAAAACGTAATTTTGTTGCAGATATTACGCAGTAAATATTAGGACATTCATCCCTCGAAGTGAAAAACATTCATTGATGTTTTAGTTACCAGTTGAGTATGGTTAAGAGAAAGTGAAATACAAATTCTCACAAGGTTGGCGATTTGTGGACAAAACTTCAGCCTCGGACGGGACTTGAACCCGTACTTGTCCTTTCCGGGGACCGTGCTCTTATCCCTTACACTACCGAGGCCCCGCTTGCCCTCGCCTTCTTGATGGCTTATATGCCATAGCTTATCAGCACTCACACGTACAACGTGTTGAGCCACACGTACAACCTTGTGAGACTTTCGGATCGCGTACTGCGGCGAATTAACAGCAGTTAACAAAACAAAACATCAAGTCAAAACAAGTTGAAATACAAATATTTTTTTCGAGATTTGTATTTTGCGAATTCCTTTGCTTAGCCTTTTTTGGTGAACCGTGACGGCGATTTAAAGATACGAAATAAGTTAACAAATTTCTCAAAAATTTGTAGTACAGTATTTTGTATCTTCGAAGTATGGGAAAGTTTTCAACCCAAGAAAAACTTGCTATTTTCTAATAAATCCCGAATTCAATATTCAAATTGGTTCGAGAGAAAAGAAGCCGCTAAAAAATCCGCAATATTCATTCATCGACCTATTATTTTCTATAAATGAGTTTTGATTAAGCAGCAATTCAATGCATCGAGATAATTTGTTTTTGATCAGACGAAGAATAGGTCGATGACCTTACCAGTGGACGGTGTTTGATGATATATAGTTCGGTCCCATTTCTGCGGGAAAATTTATGTACACGAATCGTTATTTATGATTAATTGAAAAGGCTTCTCGATAAAAACTTTTTTCTCCTACCCAGGTGTTATGTTACAAAATTGCCGAATTAATGAAGTTTTTGTCCCCAAATTTTGAAATATAGACTAGACGATATCACATTCAGAGTTGTGAAATATGATTAATCTCAACATTAATCGAACCTAAATAGTGCCTCCTTTTGCCATAGAGGGCGGTAATATGGGAACATGGAAACGAAAAAGAGGGATGAAAAACCTAATGAGGTGTCAGGTCAGAAATGGAGGATCAAAGGGTTAAAGGCACAGTTCATGATAATTCTAATGTAGCATTTATGAGTCGAAAACTGCAAAAAACAATTCTCCTCAAAAGTAGTGAGTATACGAGATTACCATGACGGAACATAGATGGGAAGGGCATTCAAAGAAACTCGTCCAAAACCGTCCAAGTAAAGTAAAGGATTAAGTCTTGGGGCGTTGCTCAACTCAGACACGTCTGAGGGGTGCGCTCACGCATTCCACTTCTAGTCAGAGTCGTAGTGGCGTGTTGAATGCGTATGTGGCCTATACACTGACGTGCCAGCCGATGTACAAGCCAGTGCTTTTATCCTCCCAGAGATTCTAGTACCAATTAACCGACCCCGCTGTATGGAAGACTTGACTGGCCCAGGTGGATATCGAGCCGGGAACAGTTAGGTAGTCAAAAAAACATCCTCATCTATGTCTACCGCTCAGTTACAGAGGCTTGCTGGGCTTAATGGATATGAGGTTTCTATCAATTAAAATACCTTAGTGAGTGCAAGTTTCATTACGGGTAAGGAGTGGCAACTATTGCCATAGAATGCCAACAAGATCTGTCAAGTGTGAGCGCAATGAGATAATGAGCCTCTGTGAAATTTCTTTATTCGTGTTGAATTACACGGAAGAGAAACACAAAAACATTCGCATGGATTGGCTGCGATGAAGTGAAGAGGGAGGTATCAGAAGACTTCTTAGGAGTGCGATAGAATAGCTTTCCTCGCTGCTCCAAAGCGATGTCCAAGGCTTACGGAAGCTGTTGTGAGTGCTCGCCCATATTTTGTCGGGAAATCGGAATTTCTCTGAAGAATAGAGAAAAGAATGCTCAATGACTTTTAAGAAGCAAGGTCTTCAAGATGAATCGAAGCAATATTTTCTGATGGTGAATGAAAGCAGAGGCCAGAAAATCAAACCCCCCATTTCCTTCGTAGATCATGCGTTTGCCAGAAAAGGTATAGAAGAATGCTTTCTTGCTTGCTTGTCCCGGTACATTTTTTTGATTCGCAAAAAGCGGGACGGTTTTTTCTCTGTTGCGAGGCAACTTTATTGTGTGTCGCTACAAATATCAATAGTGGACGTGAACGATTATGACTCAGATGTCAAACATTTTGATTTTTGCCTGTGGGTATGGGAAGTATATTTGTTGACACTTCCAAAAAAAGTTCTGCTCGGTTTGGAAGGGTGGCAGACATAATTCTCAGGTTTCTTACTACCCATATGGTGTGTTAATACTTTTGTGACGTGACTTTGTGATGATGTTGAATTTTTTCTGATTATACGATACAATACCTTAAATTTGTACTTTTTTAACGGGTAAATTCGAAGTATGTAGAGCAAAAACCTTGTAAATTGTGAAAAAACTGCCTGACGGCCAACTTTGCCCTTGCCTCCCTTGAAATGAACTGTTTTTGAAAAGTTCTTTCGTGGGGCTCATGAGTTCTGGCTATACACGATTTTAGGAGAGCAAGAGCATCTAGAGGCCGTTATGGAGCATACAGCAAAGTAAAAATGGGAATGGAAGCTGTGGATATTTTTCTCCACATACTTATTCGTAAATGAGAAACGATAGTGTTTTGGCGTTGATCAATTCCGTTTTAGGGATGCACCCCCGTATTGGACTCTGAACAGAATGTAGTGGCGTTTCAAGTGCGAATGCGGTCCTTCTAGACGGTTTACTACCATCTGAACGACTCTAGAGGAACGAAAGGCTAGGCTAGCCTGGGTGGGTATTGAGCCCGGTTTCGATCCTCGAACCATGCGTGCGATTATGTGCCTGACACTACTTCGCTGTCTATATAATACATGAAAAAACGAAAAC